AAATGGCAAGGCCATGATGATCCACTTGGATCCGCTTGGCATCTTTCTTGGCCTTCAGACAACAATTCTGATGGCTAAAGATCCAAACTGTAGGGTCTTTATCCTATTATATATCCTATATATATATATCAAGCACATTGTTGTGATTTGGTGCTACATAAATAAAATTGAACTGGAGTGAATTCAATGTTCTTCCAGTGTCTGTGTGAGTGCTCTTCAGGTACTTTGCTTCATCTCACAATCCAAAGTCATGCAGTTAATGGGATTATGTTAACTGGTTTTATTGAATTGCCAATGGTTGTGCATGTGAGTGTGGATGTTGTGTGTCACTCTGTGTTAGCCCTACAACACAGTGGCGACTTGTGATAGGCTCCAGCAACCCCTTAAATTAGATAAGCGGAAGAAATGATTTAACTTTATATGCTGGCCTTAATTTCTTTTGGTTAACATGCACATATGGTATCATGCTCAACTTGTCCAATTCCCTGTAGTAATATGAGGAAAAGTAAAAAAAAAACCATCACTCTGCCATGATTCATGACTTTATTCTGTGCCCATTAAAAAAGCAGCAAGATTACAGATTATATAGCTGATCATGACTTTATTTATTCACCTTAAAGTGAATTTTCAGTATGACTGGGCTGCAAACACGCTGATACCTAATCTCAAGGTGTGTGTGAAGCAAAAGCGTGATCCAAATATAAACAGCAAGAAAATCCTTTCATCAAACCAGCACTGCTGCAGCAGCTGGAGGATTTGACTTGTTTTATTAACCTCCACTTGATCTTTTTGACTCACATGTTAATCATTCAAACTCTAAGCTAGCAAGAGTTTATGTTCTGTCTATCCTTAGAATATTAAGTATTTATACACAGTGCGTATTATAGGTTACCTGACGTGTATGCATGCCACCATACTGTCATTTATTGTGTCACAAACATACAATAAATGCATCTCATTAGGGTTTGGAGGTCATTTTGCTGCACTAGATTGGATCCACCTATATTTCTTTCATCTAAATCATGACAGTCTTATTTCATGTGATCACCTTTACCCTATGATCAAACATTTCTGTCCTTATAGGAGGAGTCATCCATTGCCCATTAGGGCTCACGGAGGTGTTTGCAAGTAATAAAAATGATTTGAATCACACGTTATGTCTTCACAGTCACCGAGTCTGATGGTGATTCATGGCTTCAGTGCAAATTTTAACTGAAAATAAAAATAAAAAAGAACTACAGAAGTAATTAAATGACTATTTGAATCCACTACAGTCATGAAAACACGTGGAGCTGGTTTCTTGAGAAACAAAAAACACTTTGATGCTTTTTTGCCACTTAATAATAATAATAATGGATTGCATTTATATAGCGCTTTTTAAGGCACCCAAAGCGCTTTAAAATGCCACTATCCATTCACTCTCACATTCACACACTGGTGGAGGCAGCTACAGTCGTAGCCACAGCTGCCCTGGGGCAGACTGACAGAAGCGAGGCTGCCACTTCACTCACAGCACAATTAAACCAGTTATGAGAATAAGAGGGTAGCGAAATGGAAATATGAATTTGGTTTCTTCCATATAGTGCTTTAAAGAAAGTAAATTTCAAATAAATCTGATCCCAAAAGAATGGCAGATTAGCTTGGGTAAAAGACCGAAAGTTGAGGCACACAACGATGTGTGCTGCTGGTAAAGTTTCTGGGCTGCCTTTACTCATAACAGCCATCCCTCAAGATTCTTTCCATTTATTGGAGATCATGTATCAGAATTTCAGGAGCAGGACCACGCCTCCAAACACGGATGATCTGATATCGTCGTGTTGGTGTTGTTCCCAGATCATCATGAAAATGTTGTTCCAGGTTCAACATTGCAAGTGACCAATCACATTATTGTGACGTTATTCTTTTGCGCACCAACCCATACGTGCATTTATGAAATTCCAATGTTGCAAGGACAATATCAATTCTGCTTAGCGTTTATTAAAGGGTCAGGGTTAGGGTCCGTTGATCGGCGGACTAAGGCGGTTTCTCGCAGCTTAAGTACAGTTTTTTGTTTTACGCCGGTTTTTCCCGAAGTCGCAAAAGTATGACATCACAAAATTCTGATTGGTCACTTGCAATGTTGATCCTGGAACAACCTTTAGTATGATGATCTGGGAACAACACCAACACGAGGATATCAGATCGTGCTCCAAACACGCTCCTTCCAGCTGTCATCTACAGTGGTTCCCCCAGTTCCGCAAGCTGATCATTCTTGTTTACGTGCCCCTCCCTCCCTCCTTGTTCTCCATTTTTTAACTTCTTCACTCCTATTTAGTCCATGAGGATCTGCCAGGCCTGGGAGCCGTCGCCAGTCCCCTTTGAGGCCTTCCCAAAACCGCAGCTCTATTCATGTCAAAGCATCACCTTTCCTACTAAAACGCTGTCAAACCTAAATATGAGGACGTCGGCCCAGCGAGTGAAAAGCAATGCAATATCAGGAACTATAACATCTAATCCTTTTACTGAATCTGATGTTTTGTCTGTTTGTCTTGTGTTATTTTACACGTATTCACAAGAGTTTCATACTACTGATTCTATAGAGGCATTAAATAGAAAGAGCAGTGAAGGACAAGAAATAACAAGGAAAAGAAGCACTTACCCTGTTTTAGCAAAGTTCGTCCAGTAGGTCATGACAACAGCACTTAACATCACGTCATTCTTGGAGAAATTGCAGTTGAAGAGATCCGTTGGGCCGATCATGGGGATCCCAAATACGTATGGGACTTCATCTCCATGAGCTGAGTCGGCCCAGCTGGGCTTCATGTCACTCTGACAGTGGTGATAGAAAGCATAGAAGTATGTGGGGGAACCATACTGAGCATGGAGGTCAGCTGTGGCCACAGCTGGTGCCACCCACTGATGGTCAGTAAACAGAGCCACCAGGGTTTTGCGGCGAGTTTCTGGGTTCTCCTTGTCAGCCCAGTCAGTGTACATGAACTTGATGGTCTCACGGAGAGTGTCTTTGCCCTCGGGGTAGCCATACAGATGGTCAACAAAGTCAGAAACAGCAAAGTCAAAATCATTGGCAGACACGCCATCCTCACTGTCCACAATGCCATCAACAAATTTGAACCCCTCACCCTGATTGACCCCCAGCATAATGTCATAGTTCAGGAACTCCCCTTGCTCCATGAGAATCTGGGGGTCATCGGGGATCACATCACCATCGATCACTGGCCCGAAGGCAATGTGGTACTTAGCGGGTGTGATGTACTGCTCAATTAGTTCCTTGTAGTTCTTCTTCTGCAGACACTCCACCAGGTCGATGGTGTCCAGCATGTTGCAGCCCACCTTCTCAGCCAGGGCTCTTGTATATTTGGCAGGCTGGTAGTTGACTGCCCAGCTGGACAGAGCAGTGCCACTCTGGATGATGGCTTTCTGGAACAGATCTGAGATTGGAATTCGTGTTAGTGATATACACACTTCACTGTATTCATGCTTTATGGTTTAAATTGGTATTACAAAATCGACAGTACTTTTCTCTTTCAAAATAGATGTGTTATTGCAGCTGTTATCCAACTGCAATAACACATCTGAATGCTACAAAAAAAATGTCCATCACGCCACTCTTGCATTAATCTATGCACGGTCTGAAGCATGTATGTGGGAATGTATGTGAATGTTTTACTGTTACGTCTTATTAGTATTTTAAGTATTCTATCTATTTTATTTATGGAATTTTATTGTTTTATTTATATTTTGATGATTTTGCAATGATCGGGGAATAAATTACGCTGTACCTTTGACAATGACAATAAAGTTTCTGATTCTGATTCTGATTCTAATGGCACTCTAATCTATTTAACTTTTTGTCTGGTTACAGTGATTACTGAGTACATGCCCTTTTACCATTTAATCGAATTCAGAATCGCTGAAAAACTCAGTGAAAGTTATTTTCAGATTCATTGTCACACATTGTTAAAAACTAGTGCAGCAATTTATTGAACATGGAAATACAACATATGAAACAAAAACCGAGTTTTCAAGTTCAAACAAGCTAGAAAGTCGGTATTTGGTACGACCACCTTTAACAAAGCCTCAACTCTCTTAGGCAACCTTTCACCTTGATAAAGCAAATGTTTTGCCACTTGTTTGTTAACACGATACCAAGCAAGACAAGCACAGTTATGATCTTGGAAAACGAAATCTCAAGCAATTTGATATACATTATTCTATTGTACGACTATAGTAAGCAACCCTCTATGGCTCCTCTTCTTTCTTGGGTTTTGCTGCTTGAGGTATTCACTAAGCAAATGACGAGTTTAGGTCATCTTCCTGATGTACTCATGGGTCTTTGTTGTTTTACCCTGCATAGTAGTTCTGACACTCACTAGTCCTTGGCCACCTCCCGCTTAGCTTACGGTCTCAGGGTGCAGGACTTATGATCCCAGCAGGGTGTAAGCATCGATTGCCCAGATCTTGTTATTCCCATTCGGCTCACTCCTCAGGACTTGTCTACTCTCTGGAGGAATTAAATGTTTACGGCTTTCTTAGTGGGCTCTTCGTCATTCCCATTTGCCTGTGGGATTCCAAGGTACTTGTAGCTGTCTTCAATATCTCCAATGTTGCCTTCAGGTAGTGCAATCCCCTCAGTTCTGACTACCTTCCCTCTTTGTCCGAATGACGTTCCAATGTCTTTGCTGGAGTTCCGAGTCGTGTGGATCAGTGAACTGATGTCTTGTTCACTCCTGGCATACAGCTTGTAGTATGCCAGTAGTATGTACTATCTTCTTAGTCTATATGTCCCTGGGCGAGCCCTCAGGTCTTTAGCCCAATTACTCCTGGCTCAGCCTAGATCTAGACTTAAATCTAGGGGTGACCGTGCTTTTGCCCTGGTTGCACCGAATCTGTGGAACAACCTTCCTATCGCTATCCATGCGTCAGACTCAGTTTTATCTTTTAAATCCCGTTTAAAAACTCATTTATTCAACATAGCTTTTCCATCTAGTTAGCGTCCCTATTTTATATCTGGTTCAATTTCTTATTTATGTACTTTATCTTTTAGCTATATCTGTTCTTAGTAACTTTGTTCTTATATTCCCTTTTATTGTTGTATAATTAGTGCCCTTAGCCTGATGACATATGTGGTACTTTGTTAATAGTCTTTTATTTATTGTCTTAATTTTCCTGTTTTTATTGTAAAGTACTTTGGTGTACCACTGGTCTTTTAAATGTGCTATACAAATAAAGTTGTATCGTATTGTATTGTATCTGTAGCCAGTCTTATTAACGATCTGGCTGAGAGTGTTCAGGCCTATGCAGAACAGTAGTGGGGACAGGTTAATACTTGGGAAATCCCGCACTTAATGGCGTTTGCATTATATCCATAAAATATATCCAAAAATTTGGGTCTTGTTGAATTTGTACTGTTTTAGGCATTTGTGGATCCATGTCTGATGCAGTGTTGCAGCTTTTCTTATAGTCAGTAGAGGCGGTGCACAGGTCGGTTAGTCTGGTCTTACAGACTCGAGAGACTGCTCTATCTACACGGAGTTGGTGTTTCTGCCAGTTCCTTTCTGGGCCCTGCTGAGGTATTGAGCCTGTTCATCTTAGCCGCTATGATGCCTTTCAGGAGCATCCATGTTAAGCTGAGGCAGGGTAATGGCTGGTAGTTGGATGGGACCAGTCTGGGGATCCTTGAGGATCAGGACTGTCCGGCCTTCAGTTAGCCATTATGGAGGCATCTCCTCCATTAGCAGCTGATTCATTTGTGCTGCCAGATCTGCTCATGTAGTAGAGTTAGTTTCTTTTTGGTTAGCCAGTCCTCCAACACTTCAACACTTACAGAAAACATCTCTATCCATCTACCCTACATGTAAAAAAATAAAAATAACAAAATTTACCAAGTGGGTACAAAGTGTGATAAAATGTGTTGCCAAAGAGGTCATGACTACACATTAGTACATGATGGTGTGATGTGGGTAAGACTTCTCAAATAACACTGGGCAGACCAGTATAACAGAATTCTAAGAAGCCATGTCTCCATTATTTCCAGCACACATTTCATAGCAAATAATAGAATAATTCATAATATTTAATTTACGTCTTTCTGTCTCTAACGAATGAATGAATGATAAACTATAGAAGACATTTGCTGTTACTGTACTTCAGGCTGGTTCCACATTCTGGAACATTGTTAGCATGACTCCTCGAGCTGCCAGTCAGTAAGTGGGCCACAGCACGGTAGGAATACTGAAGTCATGTATAAAATCCTTTCTTTCCATGGGTTCTATTTATATTCATGCAAACACAGTGGTGACTCAGCCGGAGTTGAAAAGTATGTTATACAGACAGAGCAGATATTTCCCATAAAGCCTGGTTAGTCGTGTACAAGCTTTCACCACTGTCACTGTTAGTTAGATGTTCACTCTAAAACTATACACACTGAAAGAGTGAGAGTGTTATCAGCTTCTGGTATGCTGCTAATGCAAATGTTGAAGCTACATAAATCTTTATGGCAGCTTTACAACAGAGATCCAACTGAGGCAACAAGTGACAATACCTTCCTCTGTGAAGTCTGATAAAATGAAGGTTGCCTACAAGGGTGTGTGGGCACCATGACTGCTGCAGCAGTTGAAAACAAGGGATTTTATATGTGTATATCAAGCCATTCATGTTTCTTCAAGTACAAGATAAGGAAAATAAAACACCAAGACATAAAGAAATAAAAACCTTCCCTTGCATATTTGGTAAAGCGACCAAGAGACTTTTACCAGCAAGATAAAAATACACATTTTGTGCAGAGTTTTGTTTTTCACAAAGTTTTCATATCACAAAGAGAGGACAGCTGAAGGGGAACTGTGAGAACATTTTCCAAATCTTCCAAATCTTGATTTTTGCTTGTTTGTTTGTTTTTTTTAAATTAAAATTTTCCATATTATTGTCTGTAAACAAAGATGTAAATACAGCAAGACAATCCAGAGTCTTTTCTCATTCATACCTCATGCTCCAGTGTAAATGACTACAGACTGCATTTCAGTATCAGATATGATAAACAACCCAAGGAACGTGCATGTTTGTCAAACGTATGAAGTGTTCTCTGTATTAGAAATAATCTAAGAGACAAACACTCCATTTTCATACAGGAATATTTCTTGTTTGAAAAAGCTACACACGGTGAACAGACGGGGTCGATGGATATACAAACTGAAGCGCTTCAGCTGAGCAGAGCTTAGGTTCTCTTTTCTGTGGTTTTGTTTCTTTGTTTACAAAAATTGCCCATCGACCTCTAGCTGCTGTGCACAGTAAAAGTCAATTAAGTGTTTGATTTGCTGGATATAAAAATGCTAACTGAATATAAATGAATCCAGTCTATGTTTGAGAAAAATCTGATTACCTAGGTATACATATATTCACTCGAGGACAAATAAATACTTCAAAACAGTGTTGCCATTGTTAACTATTGCACATGCCCCTTGCCACAGATGTATGTAAATGCAAAGCAAGAGGAAACAGATGCAGGAGCTACTTGTTTGCATCC